GCTCTGAGGGGAAGGGTCCATGGGGATGTCAGTGTGGAGGGGGGAGCTGTGAGGGGAAGGGTCCATGGGGGTGTCAGTGTGAAGGGAGGGGCTGTGAGGGGGAGGGTCCCTAGGGGTGTCAGTGTGAGGGGGAGGGGCTGTGAGGGGGAGGATCCATGGGGTTGTCAGTGTGAGGGGAGGAGCTGTGAGAGGGAGGGTCCATGGGGGTGTCAGTGTGAGGGAGAGGGGCTGTGAGGGGAAGGGTCCATGGGGATGTCAGTGTGAGGGGGGGAGCTGTGAGAGGGAGGGTCCATGGGGGTGTCAGGGGTGGGGGGGGCTCTGAGGGGAAGGGTCTCTAGGGGTGTCAGTGTGAGGGGGAGGGGCTCTGAGGGGAAGGGTCCATGGGGATGTCAGTGTGAGGGGGAGGAGCTGTGAGAGGGAGGGTCCATGGGGGTGTCAGTGTGAGGGAGAGGGGCTGTGAGGGGAAGGGTCTCTAGGGGTGTCAGTGTGAGGGGGAGGAGCTGTGAGAGGGAGGGTTCATGGGGGTGTCAGTGGGGGGGGCTCTGAGGGGAAGGGTCTCTAGGGGTGTCAGTGTGGGGGGGGAGGGGCTCTGAGGGGAAGGGTCCATGGGGATGTCAGTGTGGAGGGGGGAGCTGTGAGGGGAAGGGTCCATGGGGGTGTCAGTGTGAAGGGAGGGGCTGTGAGGGGGAGGGTCCCTAGGGGTGTCAGTGTGAGGGGGAGGGGCTGTGAGGGGGAGGATCCATGGGGTTGTCAGTGTGAGGGGAGGAGCTGTGAGAGGGAGGGTCCATGGGGGTGTCAGTGTGAGGGAGAGGGGCTGTGAGGGGAAGGGTCCATGGGGATGTCAGTGTGAGGGGGGGGAGCTGTGAGAGGGAGGGTCCATGGGGGTGTCAGTGGGGGGGGGGCTCTGAGGGGAAGGGTCTCTAGGGGTGTCAGTGTGAGGGGGAGGGGCTCTGAGGGGAAGGGTCCATGGGGATGTCAGTGTGAGGGGGGGGAGCTGTGAGGGGAAGGGTCCATGGGGGTGTCAGTGTGAAGGGAGGGGCTGTGAGAGGGAGGGGCTGTGAGAATATGGTCACCTCCAGGCAGCAGGAGCCCCTGAGATGGGGGCTGAACTGCCCCCTCCCCCCAGGTGCTTTGGGGGGCCCCTGGGGCCCAGCATGGAGCTGCTGTCCCTGTGGGGTCCCTGGGAGTCACAAAGGGGTGATGTGCGGTTACTGCCCCGTCTGTCCTGGGGTGGGGGCCTGGAGCCCCCGGAACGGCCCTGGGGGGACATCACTGTCTGTGGAAAAGCAGGCCTAGGAACGGGGGTGACAGCGGCAGGAAGGAGAAGAGAGCGTTAAAGCTGCAGCCAAGTCTGGGTGCGCGGGGCGTGGAGGGGGGACCTGCCAAAATAAACCAGAGAGCAGGGCCAGCATTAGCCTCACTGGGGCCCAGGGGGGAAAGCTGAAGCCTGAGCCCCACTGCCCGGAGTCAAAGCTGAAGCCCGAGCAACTTAACTTCACAGGGCCCCCAGTTGCCTGGGGCCCCGGGGAATCGCCCTGCCTGCTACCCCCTAACACTGGCCATGGCTTTTAATCTACTGGAGATGCAGAAAAACCGTTGTGGCACAGGTGGGCTGGGGAGTTTTTATAGCATGTTGGGGGGTTCAGAAAAACCCCAGGTCTAAAGCATGCAGGGCCCCAGGAAGCAGGGAGGGAACTTTGATTCCCAGAGAACTGCCCTCGCTCCCTTTCAGCAGCAAAGAAAGTCCATTCCCCCCACCCCTGATGAACCAGCCTGGAGCTAAGGGCAGAGCGGGGGGGTTTCTCCTTTCACTCCTGCTGGGGAGTGCGGGGGTCCCGGGGGCATTTCTAGACGAGCATTTGGAACTGAATTGGGGGAACCGGCCGTTCAGAACAGAAAGCTCATGTTCAGACAACATCTTTCTTTACAGTTTTTTATAATACGATATAATCCTTCAATCCTAGTGTCGCCGTCGTCGATAACATGGCTTGGTCAGCCTGGTAGGACACCGAGGGTAAAACTGACCCGCTCTTCAAAGCTGAGAGAGTGGAAAGAAATCACCTCTCAGAGTCAATGCGTGTAGAAGAGGGGTAGTCAATAGGCAGATGGCAGGCCAAATCTGGACTGCCAGACGCTTTCGAACGGATGCCGAAATCTTTTTATCTACCGATTATTATCATTATTGTTATGTTTTATTATTTTCTCTGGAGCAAGACATTTGGACCTTGACAAAAAATAATGGATCACCCCTAAGAATCGCTACTTTCCTTATGTCCTGCTGGCCATTTCCTTTCCCTCCTTTCGGTGAAAAGCTTTGGGCTTTTGCGCAGAAACTTTATTTCCTCGGGAGAGACCCAGGAGCGGGGGCTGCCTGCACGTACCGAGCACCCGCTAGATTAGAAGGTGACCGACGAACACCCTTAAGACGAGGCAGCCGTCCCTGTCAAAAAATCATCTCCCGGCTCCACTTGAGTGACAGCCTGAGTCGTTCCTTAGCCGGGCAGAGCCCAAGGATCGGAATCGTCAGCAGCAGCAAACCCTCCTGTGCGTAGCAGGAACCAACGCCCAAGGTGCTTTAGAAAGAGCTCTCTCCTTCCTTCTGCGGTGAAATTTGCCATTCTGGTCCTGGATTTTCATCGCCCGTCTCAGAGGGCAGAGGTGGGGTGGACGCTACCGCAGGCTGGGGTGTGGACCCCGTGTCCCCATCTGTCCGTCACGCTGGGAGCCCGTCTCCGCTCCCAGCTGACAGGCCGCCTCCAGCCTGTCCGGCCAGCTCCTGAGCGCTGCGGGGGTGAGTCATTTGGCGTAAGTGGCACGTAGGAGACGCTCTCCCCAGAGGCATTGGTGGTATAGTGGTGAGCATAGCTGCCTTCCAAGCAGTTGACCCGGGTTCGATTCCCGGCCAATGCAGGGATGTGCTCTTTTCTTGGCCGGGAATTGGTTCCAAGGAGTCACGGCTTGCTCCTCTCCTCCCCCAAGGCCCAGCTTGCCCACTGCTCCTGCCCCTACACCCCTCCTCCGAGGCCCTCTCTGCCCCCTCCCCCAGAGAAGTGTGGGTGTGAGGGTCTGGGGGGGGGAAGAGGCGGAGCAAGTGCGGGAACAGGAGCAGCGTGGGCGGGGCCCATGGGGGTAAGAGGCCAAGCCCAGGCGGGGTCAGGGTCCAAGCGCCGGTGGACCTGAGCCCAGCCCCTCTGCACTCAGGGGAGCAGTGTGGGGCCGGGTGGGGGGCTCCGTGAGTAAATCCTCAGAAATCTCACACCTGGGTTTGTAATGTCAGGCCCCAGCAAACAAGTCCCTCTATGTGGGAAGGGAGGGGCTGTGAGGGGGGGGGCTATGGGGTGTCTCTGTGAGGGGGAGGGGCTGTGAGAATATGGTCACCTCCAGGCAGCAGGAGCCCCTGAGATGGGGGATGAACTTCCCCCTTCCCCCAGGTGCTTTGGGGGGGCCCTAGGGCCCAGCATGGAGCTGCTGTCCCTGTGGGGTCCCTGGGAGTCACAAAGGGGTGATGTGCGGTTACTGCCCCGTCTGTCCTGGGGTGGGGGCCTGGAGCCCCCGGAACGGCCCTGGGGGGACATCACTGTCTGTGGAAAAGCACGTCTAGGAACGGGGATTCCCCGCTGCATGACAGCGGCAGGAAGGAGAAGAGAGAGTTAAAGCTGTAGCAAAGTCTGGGTGCGCTGGGTGTGAAGGAGGGTGCCCAGCTCTCCGTCTGCAGAACGGCCAACCCCAAACGTTCAAAAACCCTGAGTCAAGAGCACCAAAAATCATGAGATTGGCTTTAAAACCATGAGATTCTGCAAAAAAGGAAGAGAGCTCTGGATCTTTTTAATCGCCTTCTGCTTGTTGAGCATTTAGGGCGCACGGGGGTCCCATTTTGAAGCTTTCTCCACAGCCACGTACTGTTTCTTTAAGAGCCAAGGCTGAAATCATCACATACTCACTTGACTCCAGGAGCTGGGGCTTTACGGAAAAACAATAATTCTCACGCGACTCATGGCAGAATCCCGAGCGCTGGCGAATCGAGTGAGTCCTTATTCCCCGGGATTCGCCCCCCGGAGCTCTGCCTCGACAAGTCTGAAGTGGGGGGCAAAGCTGCTGCCTTCGCTGATGGCTGAACTCAGGCCCTTAGAGTGGGATATTCAGGCACGGCCAGCCGCACGGGGGAAGCTCACTGAGCAGCTCCGGGACCGCCTGAGCCTGCAGGGCCCCGGGGGGCAACGAAGCAGCCGGGTCAGGCTGGGAACCTTGATTCCCAGGGAACTGCCCTGGCTCCCTGCTCAGCAGCGAAGAATAATTTCTCTCCCATTCCCCAGTAAATCAGCCAGGAGCTAAGGGCAGAGCTGCGGGGGGTTCTCCCTTCACTCCTGCTGGGGAGCGCGGGGGTCCCGGCGGGGGCGTTTCTCGAAGAGAATTTGGAACTGAACTGGGGGAACCGGGCACCTGCCTTTCATTACAGACTACGTCTTTATGTGCAGCTTTTTCATAACGTGGGTGTTGCCCAGGGGTCGGGGCCTTCGCCCCCGCGGCGTTGGCTAGAAGGCCCGTGTGAGGAAGCTGGAGCAGTCGGCCGGCTTTTGGAAGCCGCTGCGTGCCTCGGTTTCCCCGGCATGCTGCCTTGTGACCCGGCGGGGTGGGAAAGGGCCGCTTGCTCTGGGGGACATAGGTGGGGGTGTCGCCGCGCGGTGGGGGGCTGGGGGGGGGCCTTCGCCCCTCTATCAGTGGGTCATCTGAGAAGACGAAGGCAAATACAATGGCCCGGACAGCGACGCCAAGCAACCAACGACCCCGAGGGAGATGGACCCCCCCACACCCACCCACCAGGAAAGGGTTAACAGCCCCCAACCCCCTCCCCTCAGGCGGGCCCCCCCCAGATCGTGGCTGGGAGAAGTGGGGGAAAGGTCAGCGCACCTCCCCGCCCCGCCCCCAGCCCCGCGCGGCACCAGCCCCGCCCCCGACGGGCGCCGCGCCGCTCGCAGCCCCGCCCCCCAGGCGCGCGGCGCGCCCCAACCGCCCTAACGGCGCAAACGGCCGCGGCGGGCCCAGGGGGGAGCTGCGTCACTTCCGGCCCCTCCGAAGCCTGCGGTCCGGGCGGGGGGGGGGAGAGCGAGCCCGTCATTAACCCCTCCGTGCCCGGCCGCGGTGGGGGGGGGGCGTTTTCTCCAGCCGGGACCAGCCCTGGGGCCGGAGCCCCCTCCCCCCCCGGTGAGTGAGAGACCCTGGGGGGGGCAGCGCTGGGGCCTGGGTCCCCTGTAGGGTGGGGGGAGGGGAGAAGCCGGTTGGGGGGGGAGTTAATTGCCCCCCCCGGTACAAATTCTCTCACACGTGGCTGTAAAACCCGGGGCGACCCCCCCCCTTTCCCTCCGCCCCCCCCGTTCTCCCCCTAACCCTCCCGCGCCCCTTGACCGCCCCCCCCACCCGGGGGTCCCCCCCCACCCGGCAGCGGTGCGTCCTGGGGCGGGTGGGAAATGGGTCCCCGGAGCCCCTCCCCCCAAGGGGTGGGGGTGGCGGGGGGGGGCCCTGAGACCCGGCTGCCTCGGGGGTGGGGGTGGGGATGGGGGGGGCCCAGTCTCTGCCAGGGCGGGGCACGTGCCCCCCATGGGGGCGGCCCCGACCCGGGTTCCCCAATCCCCGCGGCTGCCCCCCTCCCCCCCGAACTGCCGACACAGCCGCCCCCTGCCCATCCCCCCCACTGCTGCCCCCCTTCCCGCTCCCCGGCCCCCTTAAAACTCATCCCGCCCCCCCCCCGGCTCCCTGCGGCCCGCGTGGGGACCCGTCACTTTCCGCTTCTGTGGCGGGCGGCCCCATAAAATCCCTTCAAAGGGTCCCCCTTCCCCTCTCCCCTCCTTGCATAGCCCCGTAACATCCCCTCCGGCCGGGGTGTTTTCCCCTCAGGGGATCGAAGGCGGCGTTTGGGACCCCGTTTTCTCTCCCGTGCTCGGAGACGGATATCAGCTACGCGAACACGTTGCCCGAATACGCCCTGAGAATTTTTTCTGTCTCTCTAATGATAAAAGACGAACGAAATCGCAGATTTAGCCCTTTTCTCGAATTCCTGACCAAGGATGTGAAATCTTTGTAAATGTTGCCCGTTTTCTCTCTATTTATTTATCAGCTATTGATGAGGAAACACACTCAGATTTTACCTCATCTCCGCAACTGATAGCAAATCCCCCCGATTTTCCTCTCTCCTCTCTTATTTACAAAAATGGATCCAAAATTCCTCAGATTTTCACCCTTTTCTCTTTCGTTTCTGAACGCGGGTCTCACATCTCAGGTTTTGCCTCTTTTTAGGTCATTATCAAATGTCTATTAAAAATCCTGTCAGGTTTGCGGCTGGTACCCATGCTTCGAAATCCCAGCAACTCCTTTTTTGGAGGGAACCTATCGCCCTAAATTGTTCTCCATCCTGGAGGTTGCAGGAGTTAAGTTGCCCAATGATCATCTTTCCCCTCTCCTTTGAGAATTGTTTGTTTCCACCTTTATCTCCGCTAAAAGGTTTGCCGATTAAAGAGGCCAGCCACATACTTAATAGACATCAAAGCTAGGGGCCTCCCCCTCCTTAGCTGCTAACAGCAGAGTTGGGTGGCCCCTTTTTTTTTCTCCTGCCGGCACAGGATGAGGAGGTCACTCTGAATGCAGTGCTAGTCCAGGGGTACCTCCAAACCCCACGACAAATTGTCTCCATGAGGGGTTGCTTCCCACACTGCTAAGATGTAGCTGCCTCTGCGGTGGATTCATGGTGGCCATAATTTGCTAGTGACGGTGCATGGAAATTTATTAAATATTTTGGCTCTCCAGGCCTTCTAGTCTCCCTTTAAAGAAGCATCCCCCAGGGCTCCCTCTGCCTGTGTGAATGGCCAGCAGGGGGTGGTGATAAGTGAACAGAAAGTTATCAAAAACTGATTTTCTCTCCCCTCTTCCAAACCTCAGGAACTTTAGGTTCTGGAGAGAAAACTCTTGCCCTGAGTCCTTGTCCTAGATCTGGGGGTGAGGGAGGTGGGAAGGGGGTTAGTACTCACACCCGGTCATCTGTTGAAGAGGATTCTGGACTCATGCTTTCTGAACTGTGTTTCTGGTGTCATTGAGACCAGTGTTAATCCGGAGTCACTGCAAGGAAAGACAAGGAGTGACTCCAGATGAACAGGGGGGCAAATGAGATCAGCACCTGTCCCTGTGGGGAGGTGGTTTCATTCGCTGCTCTCCCCAGAGAGCTCTGGTTGTTGCTAAAGGAGGGAAGGCTGCTCAAACTCTCTGTCCCTCTGCTCGGATACGGGGGTTCAGTTTCCTGGGTCAGATGCTGCAGCCTCCATTGTGATCTTGGAGTCCAGGCTTAGCAGCTGCTGCTTCCTCGGGAGGAGGGGGAGAGAACCTGTACTCGGAAGTGACCTGAATTAAAGCTACCTCTGTGCCCGGCCAAGATGAGGACTTTCTCCGGCTGGTACTAGCCCCCTAGGGCAGCCCTAGGCCCTGTTAATACTAAATTCTGAGCCAGAGACTCCAAGTAATTGAGAGAGACCCCAAGGAAAATGCTGGCTGTTGTCAGGGCTTGGCTGTGTGTGTTTCCTCTGCGTGCTGCACCAGCTCTGGCCAGGTAGCCGGCAACACAAGCCTGGATCGAACTGCCCAGGAAGACCACAGATTTGGGTTGAGTGGCAAAGGCGCTTGGCCAGGTTTATTGTTAACCATGCACAGTCCTAATGCCCGGCAGACTGTTCGGCGACAATAACACAGGGACGCCCATTACAATGGACTCGGCTCGGAGTGGTGGGACTTTCCACCCCCTCTGTGACCCCTCTTTCATACACTGATACAGACAAGTTATATATTGCCCCCTGATGTGATTAGTTACCACCCTTCACCTTGCACTTGGTGGTTAGATCAAAAGATCTCTGTCCATCACCCTGTCATCCTGCCCTGATCTTTAGGAGGGGTCAGTGTGTCCCTGTATCATCTCTGGGGAGTGTGTTTACACTATAACTTTGTATCGAGGTGTTCTGGTACTACCCCTCTGGTAGGTGTTTACGTGGCTTCTTAGTGCCTAGGAGTGGTTGTGTTTTTGCAACACCAGCCCTATTCTTGCCAAGTTCAAGTACCAGACAGTGAACTTGCAAGCAGGCATCTGTTTTGTAATTGAGCCAGACTTTTGCTCAGACCCTGACTCTTGCAAACTTCGCTTTGTATCCGAAGAGCTTGATTTTAGTTTGGGCCTTAAGCCTTACACCATCCTGTCTCAGGCTTTCTCTTTCTGCTACACCGGGGACTAGCATGAAAGTGACTCTGCACAAACAGCCCCTCCGCATTTCTCCTCCCATTAGCAATTGCAGGAGCAAATCCAGCCATGGGAGAGCAAACAATTCAGAAATAGGACTTTTCCAGCCCGAGGGGCAGGGACAGGGGAAAGAGAGACTGACTGTAGGAGAAAAAGGTAGCCACCCCTGGATGGAATCACTTTCCTGTAAACAAAATGAGGATCAGAGAGAAGAAAAGCCAGTCCCGGACTCCATATTCCCCCTGCTGGGCTGTGGCTGCCATGGTGTCCGTGTCAGAGGGAGTCCTCCAAAGTAACTCCTTTGGTTCTGCTCTTTTCTAATAAAGACTTTGTTACTGGAAAGGCTTAAAAAATGTCTCTGGGAGTTTAGACTGGCAGGTGGGGCCAGGTCTACACTGTAATAAAGAGATCAAGCAATTTCCAAGCATGGCAGAATCTATCATGTCTGTCCGAAGGGAAAGGGCCTGGGGGAATCGTGATGTGAAATGAACTAAAGCCTGTTCTGAAATCTCCACAACTGCCCTTCTCGCCCTGCCAGGCTGCAGAACAATGTCCGTGTCTCGCTCCAGCTCATCCTGTCCTCCCATAAGACAGGGGAGAGAAATGGCTGCAGAGGAGCCAGTTCAGGTAGGGATTAACCGGGGTGGCTGGTGGGTTCCTGCAGGAGGGGGAGGGACAGCAGATACACTGGAGAGGGTAAGGTTTGCACACTCAGGCTGGAGAAAGGGAGGAAGCCTAGATTCTAGGAACAGACCCATGGGGTTTGGTGGTGGAAATGCCCTAATGTGTGGAACAGGAAACAAATCTCCTAGATGGGGCTAGGAAAACTGACCAAACTCCCAGTTCTGGAGCCTGATCCAACTAACCAGCGACTGCTGTGAGATATGAAGGGGGCACTTACCAGTCAGAGTTAGGGGAGGTGCCCCTCTCTCATATCCACCTCCTTACAATGTGTTGGGCTTCCTACCAGGGAGCTCGCCCTGGACCTTGCTGGGGGCTCCATCTCCTGTATCAGTCTGTGGCTAGTAGGTGTGTGATGGATCTGCTGGGAGAGAGGAGGGGTGTCTCTTCGCCCCTCACCCTGGTGTTTCCTGGATGCTCTGAGCGGGGTGGGGGTGGGACTCTCTTGATGGGAAGCCATCCAGAGCTCCCATTTAATTGGCTCCTTTCCCCCATGAGTAGTGGGGTTGTGATTGGAGCAGCAGGTACTCAGTGGGGGGCTCTTGCTCTTTCAGGGGCCGGTGACCTTCGAGGAGGTGGCTGTGTATTTCACCAGGGAAGAGGGGGCTCTGCTGGACCCCGCTCAGAGAGCCCTCTACAGAGACGTCATGCAGGAGAACTACGAGACTGTGACCTCGCTGGGTAAGGATTCCTGTCCCCATAGTTATTACAAGGGGAAATGAGCAGTTAATGTTCATCACCCCTACAATGCAGTCTCAACTCTGCACACTCGCACTCTGCCCTCCCCTGCTACAGAACACTGGGAACAGAGCACCGGAGAACTACAGCACAAAGTCTAACAACTTCTCTTTGCTGAGGCAAAACTGAGGTTCAGGTCTGGCTTCCTACCTATGGCCCTCACTCAAACACTGATCCTACTCCACACAAACCAGCTCCGACTTGCAAAATACCTCTCCCTTACCCCCACTGCCAGCTTTTGTCGACAAAAGAATGAAAGCGTACACACTGCGATGTGACTTTTGGCGGCAAAAACGCCCTGTTTTGGCAATAAAATACAACCACCCAGATGAGAGACATACATCTTTTTCCTCTAAATTTTTGTCGACAAAGTGGCAGTGTATTTGTTGCTTTAATTGGCCTCTTGGAGGTGTCCCACAATGCCCATCGTGACTGTTCTGGTCAGCGGTTTGAACTCCACTGCCCTGCAGCCAGGTAAAGAACCATCTGCCCCTCCCTCTTAGAAGCCCCGGGAATTTTTGAAATTCCATTTCCTGCTGCTTGCTGTGGAGAGTTCTCATCGCATCTCCCCAGGTGACCAGGGCAGGTTATCGCAGCAAACGTTCTCCCGCTTGGACCACTGGGGTTCTGCTCAGTGTATGGGGAGAGGAGGCTGTGCAGTACCAGCTGCTCTTGAGCCATAGGGATTGGGATACCTACAGGCACATTTCTTGAGGCTTGTGTGAAAAGGGTTATGATCAGGGCACACGGCAGTGCAGAGTGAAGATAAAGGAGCAGAGGCAGGCGTACCATAAGGCGAGGGAGGCAACCCGTCACGCTGGTGCTGCACCTAAGACCTGCTGGTTCTATAAGGAGCTGGGCGCTATCCTTGGTGGTGACCTCACCTCCACCACCAAGAGCCCCGTGGATACTTCGGCAGGCGTGGAGGCGGTGGAAAGAGGATCTAACCCAGAGGATGAAGTAATCGATGAGGAGGTGGAGTCAGATGATGATGTGCAGCTCCCAGTAGGCTCGTCTGGTGGGGCAAGCAGCCAGGAACTGTTCTCCACTCCAGAGGTGTCTAGGCAGTCTCAGCAGTTGCTCTCTGGGGAGCAAGAAGCAGGAGATAAGATGCCTGGTAAGTGGCTGTGGCCTGTGTGGTGCGGAGGTGGGTTCTGGTTATAGAAACGTGGGAGGCTGGCTGTGTTTCTGTGAGCTGGACAGTTTCCTGTATAGCTAATTGGTACGGCAGAACAGGGTGTTGATGCACGCCGAGATCTCACAGGAATAGTCCAGAGAGATCTCCTGGAGGTGCTCGGCAATCCTCTGCCAAAGGTTCCTTGACAGAGCAGCTTTGTTCCTTCCCGCATTGTAGGAAACTTTCCTGCGCCATTCGGCAATCACTTGTGCAGGTGAGCAGCACAGGGGCGGAAGCCACAAGCATGGAGTAGGTGTACCCTCATGTGATCTGTGGTGCCCGGGGCAGCCCTCCCTGGAAATACCAAGTTCAGGGCAGGCTGCAAAAGGGAGTGCAGATACCCACCAGTCTAGGGAGTAACACTGAAGTTAAACTCCCCAACCAGTCACAAACTGTGCTTCTGATTCCTCACACTGGTTATTAAGAAGCAAAAAAGAAATCACACAGCCCCCTTATTGCATTCCAGTCAGCACCTAGCTCTAGTACAGTGAGAAGTTATTTTAAAAACTCTGCTCACATATATAAAATATTCTTCTGACCCCAAAGGGTCAGCCACATTACCAAGTCAGTATAGATTTGGATCTTACCCAAAATACCATGCTGCCAGCCAATCCTTTAGTATCTAAAACTAAAGGTTTATTATAAAGAAACAGGTTTCAGAGTAACAGCCGTGTTAGTCTGTATTCGCAAAAAGAAAAGGAGGACTTGTGGCACCTTAGAGACTAACCAATTTATTTGAGCATAAGCTTTCGTGAGCTACAGCTCACTTCATCGGATGCATACTGTGGAAAATACAGATGATGTTCTTATACACACAAACCATGAAAAAATGGGTGTTTACCACTACAAAAGGTTTTCTCTCACCCCACCCCACTCTCCTGCTGGTAATAGCTTATCTAAAGTGACCACTCTCCTTACAATGTGTATGATAATCAAGATGGGCCATTTCCAGCACAAATCCAGGGTTTAACAAGAACGTCTGAGGAACGAGGGGGGGGTAGGAAAAAACAAGGGGAAATAGGTTACCTTGCATAATGACTTAGCCACTCCCAGTCTCTATTCAAGCCTAAGTTAATTGTATCCAATTTGCAAATGAATTCCAATTCAACAGTCTCTCACTGGAGTCTGGTTTTGAAGTTTTTCTGTTGTAATATCGCAACTTTCATGTCTGTAATCGCGTGACCAGAGAGATTGAAGTGTTCTCCGACTGGTTTATGAATGTTATAATTCTTGACATCTGATTTGTGTCCATTTATTCTTTTACGTAGAGACTGTCCAATTTGACCAATGTACATGGCAGAGGGGCATTGCTGGCACATGATGGCATATATCACACTGGTGGATGTGCAGGTGAACGAGCCTCTGATAGTGTGGCTGATGTGATTAGGCCCTGTGATGGTGTCCCCTGAATAGATATGTGGGCACATTTGGCAACGGGCTTTGTTGCAAGGATAGGTTCCTCGGTTAGTGGTTCTGTTGTGTGGTATGTGGTTGCCGGTGAGTATTCGCTTCAGGTTGGGGGGCTGTCCGCAGGCAAGGACTGGCCTGTCTCCCAAGATTTATGAGAGTGTTGGGTCATCCTTCAGGATAGGTTGTAGATCCTTAATAATGCGTTGGAGGGGTTTTAGTTGGGGACTGAAGGTGATGGCTAGTGGCGTTCTGTTGTTTTCTTTGTTGGGCCTGTCCTGTAGTAGGTGACTTCTGGGAACTCTTCTGGCTCTATCAATCTGTTTCTTCACTTCCGCAGGTGGGTATTGTAGTTGTAAGAATGCTTGATAGAGATCTTGTAGGTGTTTGTCTCTGTCTGAGGGGTTGGAACAAATGCGGTTGTATCGCAGAGCTTGGCTGTAGACAATGGATCGTGTGGTGTGGTCAGGGTGAAAGCTGGAGGCATGTAGGTAGGAATAGCGGTCAGTAGGTTTCCGGTATAGGGTGGTGTTTATGTGACCATCGCTTATTAGCACTGTAGTGTCCAGGAAATGGATCTCTTGTGTGGACTGGACCAGGCTGAGGTTGATGGTGGGATGGAAATTGTTGAAATCATGGTGGAATTCCTCAAGGGCTTCTTTTCCATGGGTCCAGATGATGAAGATGTCATCAATATAGCGCAAGTAGAGTAGGGGCGTTAGGGGACGAGAGCTGAGGAAGCGTTGTTCTAAGTCAGCCATAAAAATGTTGGCATACTGTGGGGCCATGCGGGTACCCATAGCAGTGCCGCTGATTTGAAGGTATACATTGTCCCCAAATGTAAACCTTTTGTAGTGGTAAACACCCATTTTTTCATGGTTTGTGTGTATAAAAACATCTTCTGTATTTTCCACAGTATGCATCTGATGAAGTGAGCTGTAGCTCATGAAAGCTTATGCTCAAATAAATTGGTTAGTCTCTAAGGTGCCACAAGTACTCCTTTTTTATAAAGAAACAGAAAGGGCAAGAAGAGAGATATTAAATGGTAAAACAATCACATACACACAAAGATTTCAAAGTCCATATATCAGGTTCTTAGCAGTATTGGTGAGTTGCTGGCTTGAAAGTTCCTCTGGAACACATCTACAGCTTGGATGGGTCATTCAGTCCTTTGTTCAGAGCTTTAGTTTGTGGCAAAGTTCCTCCAGAAGTAAGAAGCAGGATTTAAGACAAAATGGAGAAGATGCAGCTGCCTTTTATAGACTTTTGCCATTTGGCTTGTAGTTCCTTTGTTTCAAACACAAGCTGCCCAGTACATGGCTTGGAAGCCTTTTCCATCCATAGGTATGTCCCTGCATGCCTTGCTGAGTCATAAGGTGTATCCCTTGCCTTCTGTCAATGGGTCAGTTGTATAGCTGATGGTCCTTAATGGGCCATCAAGCAGGCTAGGCAGTGCTGATGCCAAACTGTCTGGGGGTGTCACCCAGAAGCATAGCACAAGTTTGGAAATACAGACATACGTACATATCTAAACTCATAATACAAAGGTGATACAAACACATAAGTGAGATTATCATATCTGGCAACTTATAACACTTTTGTAGATATCTTCCATGGCATATCTGGCACAACTCATTGCAATTTTACACCATTGGTATTCATAATATCCTCACGTGTCCCCCAGATTCCATACAGTGTGACACCTCATTTCCCTGTTTACCCCTAGCAGTGAGAGATCTGCTAGAATGACCCGCACCTGTGGAAAACATTCACCATGCTTTGGGTGTTCACAGAGATGTGTGCTTGCCGAGGATCAGTGAGAAGTAATTGTTATGTTGCAAAAGGTGTATTTAACTGAAACGGTGTCAATGTTGTGTGTGAATTTAACAATCCTGCTTCTGTGCATTGTTCCCTGTGCTTCGGCAGATGTGGCCTTCAGGAACGCCCCCAAGCACCCTGGCCAAGCATCTCCGCCAGATAACAAAGCGCCCAAGACGGAGCAAAGAAGACATGTTCCGGGAGGTACTGCACTGCTCCAGTGCAGAGAAAAGGGAATGCAAGGAGTGCTGGGAAGCTGAAAGGCAGAACAGAAAAGAAGATCAGGAATTTAAGGACGCTATTGAACGGATGATTAAAGTAATGGAGGAACAAACACACATGCTGAAGTCCTTAATAATGCTGCAGACTGAGCAGATCTGTGCCTGCCTTCCCCTGCAGCACATTCAGAACCCTTTTCCATGCACATACACCCCCACCCCCAACTCCGCCCGCACAGTCCTTTCCACTTTCTGGTTTCCCCTTCACTCCACCCCCTCGGACAACTTTCACACTGAGAGTTAGACATACACGCACCTTTGAAAGTCTGCCCTTCCCTGGTTCCTCCTTTCCCACCAAGCATCTTTGTGTGTGTCTGTGTGGGCTGTTTCTTGTGCAATAAAAATAAAGGTTTTGAATGGTAACTCATCTTTGTTTCCTACAGATTGAGAGAGCAGGCACTACCAACACATACACAGCCAGTTTATTCATGTGCTTGCGGGAACGTACGGCCCAAACGTTTTCCTGGAAAGCAATGGAGACTACATGTAATGTAACATTGCAGCACCAATCACAGAGATATACATTTTCATTTTCAAAGTGTTGCCTCAAAGCCTCCTTGATTTGAATTGTGCTCCTCTTCTGAAAGCCCTGGTATCCAGCTGCTCAAAATCAGCAGCCAAGCGATCTGCCTCAGCACTCCAAGCCTCAGCAAACCTTTTACCCTTAGCATCACAAAGATTATGCAACATACAACATGCGGCTATGACCATGGGACTATTATCTTCATTAAGGTCTAACCTGTCATAAAGGCATCACCAGCATGCCTTCAGTCTGCCAAGGGCACATTCAACTGTCATCCAGCACCACCTCAGCCTGTTGTTGAACCGTTCCTTACTGCTCTTCAGGTTTCCTGTGTAAAGTTTCATGAGCCACAGCTGTAAGAGGTACGCCAGGTCTCCTGAGGATCACCATCCCCCTGAAAATGTGTATGTCATGCACCTTCCTGGACCGCATGGATGTCAGTGTAACTCTCTCAGTGATCCACAAGTGCCTGCAACACCATGGAGCAGTACCCCTTCCTATAGATGTACTCTGTCACAAGGTGGTATGGTGCCAAAATTGGAATATGTGTGACATCTATCGCCCCTACAGTTAGTGGATGGCTTTGCAGAAATCGGTTTCCCTATTTCATGCATATTTCCCAGAGTTGTGGACCTGGTCCTTCGTAGCAGGATGCAATTAATTGCCCTGCACGCTTGCATTAATGCAGCCCCAACGTTTGTCTTCCCGACTCCAAATTGATTTGTGACCGACAGGTAGCAGTCTGGCATCACCAGCTTCCACACAGCGATTGTCATGCACTTCTCTATCGATAGGACGGCTCTCATTCTGGTATCCTTGTGCTGCAGGTCTGGGGCGAGCTCCGTACCCAGTTCCAGGAAGGTGGCTTTCCGTATTTGAAAGTTCTCTAGCCACTGCTCTTCATCCCACACCTGCACGACGATACAATCCCACTATTCAGTGCTTGTTTCCCGAGCCCAGAAGCCATGGTCTACCCTATGCAGCTGTTCTATGAATGCCAAAAGCAATCTTAAGTTGTTCCTGTTCATATCAGGCATCTGAGAGTCTTCTTCAGTTAGGAACTTCGCGATTAACTGCACTGCCATCCGCAATGTCTTCATGACAGTTAACAGAGCATAGGAGAGCAGTGCGGGATCCATCCCATCTCACAAAGATGCCGGGGTGCACAGCAAAGAAGGGTCATTGAAGAATGCTGTGAAAGAAAGCCGGAAGCCCATGGAGTGCTGGCACAGAAAGCAATGAATCGAGCCCGGTCCCAAGAGATGCCACGATCCACTTCGCCTTCTCACAACACGTAGCAACTGAAGATGTCGAGGTGGACTGTGGGATAGGTACCCACAGTGCATTGCTCACACTGTTGATAGTGCCCCAACCGTGGACGCGCCCTGCCGACAGGGAGCGAGTGTGAACATGACATTCTGACTTTTATTATGCTGATTTTTGAGTGTCAACATCGCCTTTGTTGACATAATTTGGTAGTGTAGATAAGGTCAAATTAACTTCTAACTTAACAAGCTAAAACAGATTCAAATCATATGTCTGTCTCTCCCCATATGTTGTGTCAGGCTGGGTTTCCTTTCAGCCAGGACTCTTCCTTCCTCCCTCCCCCCCTCCCAAGTTGAGTTATTCAGGAGGAGCTGATGTCATGATGGAGGCGGGGGAGGAGAGTCTCAAGCATTTATTCCACCTCTTTTTATAATTCAGTCCTTTGTGCTAGAAACACTTTCAATCCTCGGGTGAGTCATGGTGACACGCTGTCTGTTGTGTTCATGAGCGCCTAGCCATCCATGTGATGGAATGTAAATGTCTGGTTCACACCTTTCCCAGACCGGAGAATGGCCATTTAACCAGGTGATCGCCTTGCTGTCTCTGAGGAAGTGGTCTGTGGGTGTTCCCCAGAACTGTACCGTTTTCAGTAACATCATACAGTAAACTCTAATAACGGTACGTAGTGATGCTACACATGGTCTAAAAGGTTGATAATGTTCAGCAGGTTTTTGAGTTTTCCAAGGCATACTTTGGACAAAATATATCATAATTTTGTAAAAGAGTGAATACACGGGTACAGACTGTCACAGTGTCTGTGTGCGTTCCCAGCAGATATGTTGGTAGTTCAGTCCCTCATAAGCAAAGCATTCTGTACCTTTGAGGACCTGAGGAGCTGGCCCTGGGATTTCACTGGTTTACTAAGGACTGGGGTTTAAATTAATAATTATTATCATGACAAAGTCTTATGAATTAACCTGATCTCCTTTGTTTTCTTTCATCTGAGCAGGGTTTCCAGTTTCCAAACCTGATGTGATCTCCCAGCTGGAACAAGGGGCAGAGCCATGGGTCCCAGACCTCCAGTGTTTAGAGGAAAGAGAGATCCTAAAAGGTCCCTGCACAGGTGAGGAAATATGAAACCTACTCACAGTCTGGAAGTGCCTGAGGGAAACATCTAGGATACCCTAGAAAGACCTTGTGAGCTCTCTAATTTTAGGATTGCCCCAGCAAATGTCATATCCTCCAGGCAGATATAGCTCATGACTTCCTACAGATCCTAACTGACACCTGTCAGTGGCATCTTACCTTCCCACTGAGAATTTAGATGGGATGTGAAGGCAGAATTGATTCTCTTTGGGGGAAGAGTTTGGGGGAATTCAGTTCCTGATTTTTATTTGACATCTCTCCAGCACTTATTTTGGTTTGCTCTTCCCCTTTCTATCCCTGTTTGAGGTTTTTTTTCTATCACAGCAGGTGATGCGATGGTGAGTGAGAATGAGGAGCAGAATTCTCATCAGAAAGATGAGCCACACAGAGCCTTAACGCAAACATCCAAAGGGAATGTGTCCAGGAGTCATGAGCAGGCAAAAGTCTGTGAGATTCAGCAGACACCAGAGAGAGAGCAGGGAAACCAGCCAGGAGAGAAATTGGATAAATTCATTTGCTCTTGGGGAACTCACAAGGACCTCAAGGAAACCACAGCCCAGCAGAAAATCCTCGGGGGACAGAGAAAAAATACATCCACTGAGTGTGGGAAAAGCTTTAGGGACCACTCAGTCTTTCTTGTGCATCAGAGAATACACAGAGGAGACAGACCCTATGAATGCTGTGAGTGTGGGAAAACCTTCATTCGGCGCTCACACCTTATTACGCATCAGAGAATCCACACAGGTGAAAAACGCTATCCATGCTGTGAGTGCGGGAAAAGTTTCACTGATCTCTCATCCCTTATCTCTCATCAGAGAGTCCACACGGGAGAGAAACCCTATGAATGCTGGGAGTGCGGGAAAAGCTTCTCTCAGAGCTCAACCCTTCTTACACATCACAGAATTCACACGGGACAGAGACCCTACGAATGCGGTGAATGTGGGAAAAGCTTCACTCAGAGCTCACACCTGACTATACATCAGAAAATCCACACGGGAGAGAGACCCTATGGATGCTGTGAGTGTGGGAAAAGCTTCACTCTGAGATCGCACCTCATTAGGCATCAGAGAATCCACACGGGAGAGAAACCCTTTGAATGCTGTGAGTGTGGGAAAAACTTCACTCTGAGCTCAGACCTTACTACGCATCAGAGAATCCACACGGGAGAGAGACCCTACGAATGCTGTGAGTGCGGGAAAACCTTCACTCGGAGCTCAGCCCTGACTAGACATCATAGAATCCACACGGGAGAGAGACCCTATGAATGCCGTGAGTGCGGGAAAAGCTTCACTCGGAGCTCAGCCCTGACTAGACATCATAGAATCCACACAGGAGACAGACCCTATGAATGCCGTGAATGTGGGAAAAGCTTCACTCAGAGCTCAGCCCTTATCTATCATCATAGAATCTGCAAGGGGGCCAAACACCATAAAAACCTCTAGATCTATCAAAACTTTTATTTTCTTTCATAGTTTTCCTAATTCCCATGTAGTGACCTTTAAAGCTGTTTGAACTGTTTGCACCACCATTATCCCTCATTGTGTCCAAAAGAGTTGTCCATTTTCACCTTTTCTAGTTTTGCCATTTGCCCTGTTTTGGGGTGGACCTGGTTGTCCTTGCTATCCACTCCATTGTCCCGTGAGTAATGGAAGTGGGTCTGTCCTTCCAGGAAACCAGGAGAATCACATTTATACTTTTCCTCCTTTTGCCAAGTTATTTGTATCACCAATGATACAGATTGTAGCATTCCCAGTTTTACTCACGTTGCTCTGGGTTATGCTGAGCAGCAGTTATTTGTGGACCTTTATTCGTTATATTTCAATGAAGAGGAGCAGGGGCAGGGGAAAAGGTGTCATTTCAGTCTCTGTGACACTGGGAAGAGAGGGGGTGACTCAGAGATTCCCTCCTTCCCCATCGTCCCAGAACGGTTACCTCCTGTCTGAGGCATGCAGAGTTTATCTTCTTCACATTCTATCCCTCCACCTCTCAAAGTGTAGTGTGGTGCAGTGTTCTCAGCTGTCTCTGCTTGGAGAGGATGTTTTGACTTCTTTAATCAGAGTCACTATGTCTGCCAAAGAAAGTGTCAAAGATCTGGAAGGGTAATTCAAGTGCATGCCAAACACAGTGGGATCATTTGGAGTTTAAATCCCAGTTTCCATCTATTGGCCAAGCCACCTTTGGGAAGGTTGGCTGTATTTCCCCCCATTATGAGGATGTTACATTGCTAAAACTTTTGTAAATAACATAACTCAATAATGCGACTGTGCTGAGTGAAGCAGGTTTGAATGGATCAGAGGAGAATGTCATGGGACAATCTCTTCTCCTGATTCTGAGTCATCAGATGCAATCTGCTCTGGAATTTCACTTGACACTTTCATTTTCATGTAGTCTACCTCTCTGTGATATGGGTTTCTATCTTTTCTGGAGACTGTTCGGTCACCCAGTTGGATATTAATTTAGTTTGACTGCATGTAACTCAGATTTATTGGAGACTTCGAGACAAATGGCCATTTGCTAAAGTCATTACGTCTCACTGTTTTTGTGGATACAGGCTAATACAGCGACCCCTCTGATATTTGGCACTTTACTTTGGCTTTTTCCCCACCTGTCCGTGATGACATGGAGAAAGTTCAAGTGCAGTTCTGTCAACAGGAGAGAACTCTCCCATTTACTGGACATGCTAACAAAGAAACAGCCGTGATTTAAAATCTCCACTCGGAAATGGTGAACAGCAGCAGACCCCAAACTGTGCAACGAACTGAAGGAAGTGCAGATGATCACAGTGGAGTTCCATTATTTGTCAATATTGTCTCAGATGATCTGGGGAGAGGATTCCACAGTAAGTGAGTTGGAGCTAGGCAAAATGCTCATGTATTTGGTTCCCAAAGTAGTAACCCAGACCCTACAGAAGATCTGTCTTAGGTAATGCTATGGTATGGGAAATGCTGCCCTTTATGATGCAGATGTCGAGGAAATAGAAATGGGTTTTGTTGAATTTACCCTACGTAGGTGCTGCAAATGTGTATAAAATGAAATCAGTGTTCAAAATGAAATAGCTGCAGAAAAATAGCTATTTTTGAATAGAAACTCCAACTCCGGTAACTAACAGAGATTCTGATCCAGGCCTGTATACAGTCCCTAGCCTGGACCTGTGCCACCAAATTAAAGAAAAACTGGGCACGTTTTGGGAAGCCATTCCGCACTAACACTGCTGAGATTTTGAGTGGTTCGGTAAAGGATTCTACTTCAGAGAAAGGTAAATTTAACCTAACCGAAGCCAAGGATTTTAAAAGAAATGGGTTAGCAACAGTACACACCCAATTCTTGGTTTTCACCCCAATAAGGGAAGCTGTGGTGACCAATGGCCCAAGGAAAATGTTTGTAGAACACCACTCCCTAGTTCAGTGTCACTGATTACAGTCCCAAAGGATGCCATGGTTAGTTTGAGCACAATCATGCTTCACTCTTTGGATCCAAAGTTTCATTAGGCAGAGAGAGTCATTTAGAGGACATTCCTTCCCTGTGGATCTCAAACTGGCTGCCCGATTGGGTGAAAAGGACTTTTATGCTGTGGAAGTGATGGTAACTAATGGGGGAATTACTGTGTTGGGCTCCAATTTCAGACTGCAGGAATCACAGATGTTAAGTCCTGAGTCTATGGTTTTGTCTCTTAGGGCTTGTCTACACTTACGAGACTGCATGGGCACAGCTGCATCGGTGCAACTGCTGCTGTAGCGTTTTTATGAAGAAGCTCTAAGGTGAAGGGAGAGAGCTCTCCCATCATCTCAATTAATTCACCTCCCCGAGAAGTGGCAGCTTTGTCCGCAGGAGAAACTCTCCTGCTGACAAGGCACGGTCTATATGGCGGGGGAAAACTATACCGTGTACCTCAAAGTAGCATCCTGGGGCCCCTATATTCACTACTGTCATGTGATTATGATATGTTTTGAACAATGCATGCTTGAATCTTTATACCTTAATGTCCTGTTGAATTATTTGTAGTATCATTGTATGTGAAGTTGTGGACTACTGCTGTATGTGTTACTGAAATACATTGTGAGGTTGGGAAACGCCCAGAGCCAGCCTTTCAGTTGCAACAGAGATGCAGCTATCAGTCACCAGACAGGCATTGATGGCCCATCAAGAAGAATCCACTCGCCCAGAGGCTCCTTAGAGAGGGCACATACGTAATGGGGACAGCCTAACCGACGTCGCAGCAAGAATCTTTCTAGCAGCTGGAAGAAAGTATAAAAGAGGGATAGTGACATTTCCCCCACCTCAACACCTGGAAGATCGTCTGGAAGATGAAGACTTTGAACTAGGGAGATTGGCCCCAGGCTGGAAGGGAGTTCAGTCTGAGTATTGAGAACTGTGAGCTGCCTGTAACGTCTATTAGGGTGAGTCACTTTGATTCAAATCTTGCTTAGTCTGTTAAAGTTCAAATTTAGACTGTTTCTATTTCTGTTTCTTAGGTAACTAATTTTGATCTCTATGCCTGCTACTTATAGTCACTTAACATCTGTCTGTAGTTAATAAATCTGTTTTATATTTTACCTAAACCAGTGTGGCTTTGGTTGAAGTGCTTGGGGAATCTCTGCTCAGGTTACACGGGCTGGTGCTTGTCCACTTTCCTTTCACGAAGTGGCAAATGAGCTTGCACTGTTCAAGGGTGTCTTGAGCAGTGTAAGATAGCATGTTTCAGGGGTGTTCTCCTGGGGGTTGGAGTGATTGGCAGGTGCCTTTCTAGGTTGTAGCCCAGGGATCCCATCACAGGGGGTTAGTTTGGTATCACTACATTGCTCAGAGCTGTGGATTTTTCACATGCTGAGCAACACAGTTGTACTAAAATGGGACTGTAGCAGCAGAAGATTCAGAGAGATACGAACTCACAGAAGTGGGAGGCACCTACATTGGGACAAACCACAAGTTGCCTTATGGGTTCACTTGGTGGCAATGGGAATTTGTGACCTGGGTGCCACCTGGAACTGGGATACCACTGACCCCTCTGACCCACCAGTCTGGGCTCCCTCTCACACTGTGTTGGTGAGACAAGCTGCGGACTGTTCCCAGTCTTACACTTCCACCAGCATTCACGCAGGCAGGGACACACCCAGCTGCAGTTACATGCAGGCTGACCAGTCACTGCATGAACCAAGGACAGAGAGGCTACAGCTAAGACACCACCAGCTTCCCAGCCTAGGACCCCAAATCTGTACTGACTTGCCCTGGTCAAAACCCCAACCAGTATGAATTTATTACCTGGTTCACCCCGCCCCCCTTGTGGAGAGGTACAGCCAACAGCCTTTGGACACAAAGCTGAGATTTTTTCCCCAAACGCTTCACTTAAAGGTACACTGGGTTAGATTAAAACATAAAACAAGTTTAACTGCGGAAAAACAGATTTTAAGGGATAACAAACAGATGAAAGCAGATTATCTAGCCATTTCTAACCCTGACTGATGATACCAGCAGGCTTGCAGATTCTTAAGGGACAAGGGGGGGGAGGGATAGCTCAGTAGTTTGCGCATTGGCCTGCTCAACCCAGGGTTGTGAGTTCAATCCTTGAAGGGGCCATTTAGGGATCTGGGCCAAAAATTGGGGATTGGTCCTGCTTTGAGCAGGGGGTTGGACTAGATGATCCCAAGGTCCCTTCCAACCCTGATCTTCTATGATTAAGCTGCAGCTTGGGCTTCCCATTCCAAGTCCTTTTCCATTGGAGCTTCTCTTAGGTGTTGAGTTGTGGGGGAGTGAAAAACAACAGATAATGTCACTCCCTGCCTTATATAACTTTTCCACAGGCCAGGAACCCTTTGTTTCAAACTTGGTTCCCAGCCCAGTTTGTGGAAAAATACAGGTACCCAAAATGGCATCCAGAGTAACGTGATCTGATCACATGTCCTTGCAGAGTCACAGCAGCCATTATTCATAGGCTGTCTGGAGCATTCCCAGGAAGATTCTCCTAAAACCTGTTGTTTTCCCTAATGGCCCATTACCCTGAATGAGTCCTTCACAACCAGCTATTTAGACTGGAAGCATCTTGCCAAGTGGGTGTCACCCGGTGTGACGACATGTGAAATACAGATCCATAGTCCATATTCATAACTTCGGGTACAAAAATGATACATGCATATAAATAGGCCTGTCGTGTTCAGCACATTGTAACTTTTCGAACGATACCTTACATGAGCCATCTTGTACAAAATGTATCATAATTATGCCATGAGCATCATCATCATATCACTGACGAATATGGGGTGCAGTGGAACAGAATTACAAGAAAATGAACGTGTACAACAAGATTTTGTGATCTTTGAATGTGTGATTGGTACCACTATAGTCTGATTTTTAGAGGGTTGTATGAGCAGTTGATGTGACCAGAAGATAATAAGGTTCTTGTC